CGCCCAAGGTTCCTGGAGAATACAGACGCTGTTTTATACCCAGCCCTACGTCACCCATCTCTTACCTTGGCAAAATGACAGCCATGGCTGGTTGTTGCCGGATTCACTCTTCTTCCGTTAGCATTAGGCGTGTTCCATTTCGCCTTTGCCGCAGACCACATCTTGGTGATCTTTTTCGCCGAGATGTTAGGTTGCTGGATGATGTTCGGGTTGATGTGACTCACTTGTTCGTCGTCCACGATTTTTCTCACCTGAAAAACGTCCACAGCACCCATAGGTCAGGCATACAGCGAGGGAGCGAGGGGAGGGGCAACGCAAATCATACACACACACACGTGTTCTTTATACCTACCTACAAAGATGACACCCCCGGGAAGTGCGAGAAATTGAACTCGATTTCGATACGAAAAAAAAAAGAACGGGGGGAATGCACCTCTCTTGCGGGAAGGCCCAATTTCGGTCTGTTCCCGGCCTGTTACTTTCTTCTGGCATAAAATATTGTCTGGCTATCAGTGCATTCTTTTGAAAAATTTCAGCGCGTTTTCAATGTCTTTCGCTAAAATAGGCAACGAAGCAACTGCATGCAGCAAGTGTCTACAGCAGGTCGTCTGCGTCAGCAACAACTACGTAAGTCACCGGTAGACGTCAACAGCAGGTTGACCCGCTCTTGGGGTTGGATACCTAATGGCATTTTACCTAAAACGATGGCGCGATCGTCCGTGGACGTTATGAGGTGTTGAGTACCATGCCTATAAATAACTATCAATAGTCTACATGGGTCCCACGTGTGTCAGGAATTTTGACACGAGCACGAAATTTTGACACGAGACCAGAATTTTGACACGAGACGTCAGAATTTTGTCACGAGAGGATACGCCGCACTTTTTCATGTCAGAATCACAGGTCAGGATTTTTCTAGGCTTTTGCTCGATAGGCGATCGCCGAAAACGCCGATTTCTGAAAAAAATCGCCGCAAAAATGGTAAAAAAAAAATCACCGAGAAAAAAAAAAACGCCGATTTTGAAGGGAGNGAAATTTTGACACGAGACCAGAATTTTGACACGAGACGTCAGAATTTTGTCACGAGAGGATACGCCGCACTTTTTCATGTCAGAATCACAGGTCAGGATTTTTCTAGGCTTTTGCTCGATAGGCGATCGCCGAAAACGCCGATTTCTGAAAAAAATCGCCGCAAAAATGGTAAAAAAAAAATCACCGAGAAAAAAAAAAACGCCGATTTTGAAGGGAGCTCCGCCGTATCG